GGTACCACACCAAGTTCGCCAGCGTCGCCGAGATGGCAAGCAAGAACAACGAGGTGGTCCGTTCCATCCGGGAGGAGACCTCTGAGTACAGGCGCCTACTCCAGTCCCGATCCTCGGAGATCGACGCCCTGCGGAACATCATCGAGTCCATGAATAAGCAGCTGGAGGACATGGAGGAGAAGCAGGGCAAGGAGGTGACCAAATACCAGGTACAGCACCAAAGGGGTTGTAGCCAAACAGCTGGGGAAACAGACTGATGTTTACATAGGTTACTAGGGGGAATGGAGTTAATGACCTGCTTATCAAACAAACTTAAAAGACGCTTCATTTAAAGCCCCTCTGTTTAAACAGGGAGAAGATGAGAAAACATGGCTATACAGTAACAAAAATATGACCTTGAAAAATGACATAACCCAAAATAAGTGCAGTACAGTTTCCCTGCTTAAGTTGTTTGCAAATGAATGAATAAAAGAGCTAAAATAAATGGGAATATTTAGAAGAGTAACTCTGTGTAAGGTGAGCGACAGAGTGCTACACAATCTGTGCACATTTTAACGTAGCTGCGGCAACAGATCAGGATGTGAATATATAGTATGCAGTTAGGTGGATGGGGTGACTGCTGAGAGAGCAGAAAATTAATGATACATACATGCTGCAGCAAGGGCTCTGTGCCTCTCTGCTGACACACGTCATGCTCATGTGTGCAGCTCGCACAGAGTCATGGCCTCCTGTCACTCTGCTTCCTGGAGCGTAACTCCACACTTTAGCTTTTAGCGGAGACAGCCAGAGTGGCTTTGCTGGTGTGCCTACAAAACCAGCATGCAGATTTATACAGGGGGGAGGAAATCGGTCACCCCGTTTTCAGCCTGTGTTTTTGCTTTGCTGCTGTTTTTAGGGACGCATTAATGAGCTGGAGAAGGACATAGCAGATGCCAAGCAGGAGATGGCCCGATATCTGAGGGAATACCAAGAGCTCCTGAACGTAAAGATGGCCCTGGACATCGAGATTGCTGCGTACAGGTAAGCTCCAGTTCCTCGTGGATCTGGCATGATTCAAATGGAATAGCAGAAAATCTGCATTTCTAGCTAAATAATGCTACTTCCCTTATCTGGCAGAGAAATCAGATTTTGTCAGTATTCATTTCTAGTTGCACATCTTTGTCTCCTGCACTGAATAAAACTGCTTTTATTCATCAACACAAACAGCATCAACATTGTTTTTTTCTCTCACTTTTTTAACCATGGCCCTCTTACTCGAGGTGGGCATTTCAGGTCTAAAAAGTAAAAATCCAGACCAAGATTTTGATCCAAACAATCAGATGAGTAATCTGTCACTGTGACACTTTATACTCAACTGGTTTGTTAAAACAAAATCTTGGCTTGGATTTTTTCTGTCTGGACTTGAAATATCCACCTCTGCCTATTACTAATACTGTTGGACGCTGCACATGTGTTAAATTTCTAGATTTGACAATTCAGACCCAAGACTGTATATTAAGGACATTGAACATAATCTAGACCAGAAGCATCAGAAAAGATTTATGAAAATGGGGGGCTTAGCCTTTACTAGGGGGGTCTGATGGAAATGGAACACATGTCTTAACTAATTAGTGTGTCAAGTGTGATAATATGTTTGGAAAAAGTTTGTTTCCCATGGGATAACGGTCAGATGGAATAGGGGATTTTATTGCTTTACTGTTAGCAAGTTCATTGATTTGGAGACCTAAAACTGCCATTTTGGCTCAAGCTTGGGGCAACAGACATGGAAAAAAAAACAAGACAAAAAAACATAAGGACAGAGCATAGTTTCTCTAGTGAGCTTTCACCACTTCTTGCAACCCTGACCACTCTCTCTCCATCCACAGAAAACTGATATGTTAAGCATTATTATAAACTGCTTCCAGGTGAGAGTCTTGTCCCCAGACTCTATTGAACCATCCCATCAGTCAAACCTAAACCCCATTATAGTGAGGTTCCTGAGACAGCCTGTAAACAAGGAGGTCTAAATGACGATGAGGTACAATGAAGAGTTCAAGAATTGTAGTTTATTGTAGCAAGGAGCAGAATGTCTAGGCAAATATTCAATTTAGAGAATACTGTTCCACAAAGCTATGGTCAGCATTTGGTCATGGGAAAATTTGCCTCAATTTCTATTTCTGCAAGATGAAAGACTTCATACAATGACCCAAAATGTCTTCTGCATATATGGCTTGTATCTTTATAGCACATTGTTGATATCATTTTGCATTGAATGCCCCCTCTCTTTGAAGGAAACTTCTGGAAGGTGAGGAGATCCGGCTAAACTTCACTTCCCTGCCAGCTCTCACCTAGAAGTACACCCCCCTGAAGTCAGACATGCCCTTGTTGCAAACAAGAGGTCCATCACAAACTCCCCCTTCTTCTCCACACACTCTGAATGCTAATTACGAACAAGGAGGATGCAACATAACAAAGAAGGGAAAGTGAGCGGAAGCACTGTGTCAGCCATGATGTAAAAGCTAAGTTGGTGTACAATGTCCTTTTGGTAGATCCAAACTCACAGAATTAGAGCAGTTTTGACACTACCTTAACAGTGGCACAAACATTTAACCAATTGTTTGTAATGGTAGGTCAAATTATAGTCAAGGTCAGCAGTGGATGTTTGAACTTTATTCAAACTGTATTTTTAAGAAGCAAGACAGTAGCAGACCTACATTGAGTTTGAATTCTACCAATAGGATATTGACCTGCACCCCCTGGTCTTAGTCTATTATGTTTTGTTTTTTTTTTGTTTTTTTTTATAATTTGTTCTCATAAATCGCTCACTGCTGAATTTTTGGGTTGTTTTTCTTCCTTGATATTTGCATTAGTATTATGTGAGCTTCACATAAAATCAAATACTTGATCTGGCTTACTCTCCCAAAGTGATAAGGTGGATCTGCTCTACAAAATCAAAATTAAATTTTCCAAATTGAAAATTAGAGACTAAAATTCTATTTTACTCTGAATTAATTTTACATCAGAGAAGCTCAAAATATAAGGAAAATATCAGGGAGAATACTGAAGGCCTCACTGGCCGAGTTTTCTTTGTGACTGTACTTCCAGACTGCATCTACAGCACATTTCTTTGAGCTGCTTAGCACATATCTGCACTGTATGTCCATTTAATATGAATTAAGCGTAAACTGTCCTAAAACAGAAACTAAGAAGAAAAAACTCACAACCAAGCTTTCTATTGTGCCGATCTTAGATCTGACCAAGGATTTGAAACCTCTGAATCAATAATTTTTAAGCCTGACATATGTGTACGTGCCAGCAACTTGCTGAATAAATATATAAAGGCATTACTGAGCAATCCTAGTCGGTGTCTTTTTCAGTGTTTGAGGTTTTCAACTCCATTTCCTATTGTCAATGTCCTACTTCTAAATCAATTCAGTTCTGAATTCTGTTACCAGGAAGGCTTCTCTTCTTTAAGCTTATAAATAACCTTATTTGTTGCTGTTTTCATAGTATATAGTTACAGGTCTGTAGAAGGTGTTTGGGTGCTCAAATGAGATGATCCACGCAGTCTAGGCTGAAGGAATCCTTTTGGCCTGATGTACTGGTGCATTTTAATAGCTGCGTGATCTCAGCCTCAGGGTTAGCAGCTGTCGTCACACTCACGCTTTCTGACTCTCATGCTCACGGAAGAAATATTATGGCAAATGTATATCATTCCATTATAAACCTAAAATTAGCTACGTCAAAAGTGTTGTGGTAGTTTGCAAACCCTACAGACTATTTACAGGGTAATAAAACTGTACCATACATGTATGCAGACTCATCCTGACCTGAAAATCTCACACCAGCCAGCAGACCTAAGTTGGCAACACTGCAATATGCACCACTGCCCTGACAGCAATGCAGCCAAATGCAGCTGGTCTTGCTTGCAGATTCACTCAGTGCAATGCAGGTCTAACAGAGAGTTTTTATAACGTGGCTGTGACTACAGGACGCAACACAACAGCTTTGCATGTACAGTAGGAGATTTCAAACCTAGTTCCGGTAAACCACACCCCTTGTTGCAGGCCAACTGCTGTCAGGTAGCAAACCAATTGTGACCAGGCTAATTTCAGTGTTTCCTAACCGAGGTGTAACTGCTATGTACTATGCATTTCACATTTGCCTGGCCGAAGATGAATAAGACCCCGAAATCCCAGTTGAAAATAAGGCTTGTTATTCAAATAAATTGCTCAAAATGCCATGTTACCAGATGTTTTTCACCAAGGGCGTAACTTTGGCTGGAACATTGGGGGGGGAGGGGGGGGCTGGGGGTCGAGGTCTCCACCCATTGCAGGGGAAACATGATTATTGGGGGGGGGTTATATTGGCTGGATCTGATTATTGGGGGGGTCATGACCCCCCTAACCCCCCTGGAAATTACGCCCATGTTTTTCACGTATAAAACTCTAAATTCACTGGTGCCTTACATGGGCATACCTGCTACATACTGTGCATTTCATATGTTACATTGTACCTCGGTAATCGGCCAATTCATACGTAATTTTGTAGTGATGTTAGGGTTGATACTGAAGCTCAGAAGCTGTGTTAAAAAAAACACTATTACAAATCATGGTTCGAAGTTCGGTTCGTTCTTAACATTAACACGTAACCAAATGACGTCTGAAACTTCGTTGGAACCACAACCACGTGACTGCTTTGGCTTTGGAGTTATGAGGATTTGATTTGCAAATCGACAATAAAAAGGAAGCAGTGAAGGAACAAATGAGGAAACAGGTACATTTGGGAGTGAGAACATTTCGAACATCAACAAATAAGGTAAAAACCTATAAGAAAATAATTAACAGTATATATTGTTATTTATATATGATATTAGAAATGAGTTTATTCTACTTACAAAAAAAGCAACAACAAACCGACATCATACACATGCAACAACATATTGTCCACGGGTCAGGTGTTTGGTCTGTTCTCAGAAATGGGCATGTAATAACAAATCATCACTGCGGAGTTTTTTTTTCCCATGTATTTTCGGCTTTAGTTTTTTTCCGCCGCGAACACTCCCCTCTATGGAAGCTAATGTCAGCCGAGACATCAGACGCTACGAATGAGAATCAAAATTAATTATAATTAGCTAGCTTAAGTCACGTTAAACTAATTATGCACATGCGTGCCACAAATCTGGCAGGAGCGACAGCTGAATTAATATTCGCGAACAACTTTCGCACTACGAAAGACGGGCTTTTCCGAAAGTATCGTAGCGCAAAGATTATAATAACCTTTAGAGAGACCACTTTACGCTGCAAAACATGGGCGAGTTTCCAAAAGGTATATGATTCTTGTGGAGTCTTCCCTGTCATTAAGTGACTCAGACCTGGGCGGCTGATAAGGTCAAGACCCTTCTCGATAAGGTTGCGACAGCGCGCATGCGCAGCATATTTCACGTTCAGCGGTAAACCGGAAGTGTGAATGACCTCATTTCCGTTGCGCCTTTAAAGATGATGGCAGGTTTTAGGCGTTTAGTACATCGAACTTTACAGAGATGTGTGTTGGATGACAGCTTCAGATCGCTCGCCGTGCGAGTCGCGGTACCGTGTTCAAATCGAACGGAACCGAGGTACAATAGAGCAGGACGTGACAAGGCTTCAGCGACGTGGACTCCTGCGGGTAGCTGGAGTGGCAGCTCGTACGGAGGCCGCGCCTTTAGGATAGCCTTTGCGACTGTGCTCGGAGTTGGTGGAGCGGCTTTTCTCAGCTCTCATGAAGATGACAGGCAGTCTGAGACTAGCACGTTGTTAAAACTCAGGGGCTCGCTCCTGGAGCAGGCAGAGTGTGCTTCTCCTTTCAAGCCGGACAGTCCACGATACAAATACAACTTCATTGCGGATGTGGTGGAGAAGTCTTCGCCTGCGGTAGTATACATCGAAATAATAGGGCGGTAAGGTCGACCCTGTGCTTTTATTTATTGTACATCTGGCTCAGGTGTGTCAATGTTAACGTCTGATACGTTCTAGCATGTTCATCCGCAGCATCGATTAAAAATGTAACACGTCAGTGCATTGTAATTGTTATATCGTGTGGGCTAGTAACTACTTTTCTTGCTCAAGTATAGGTAAGTATTTTGGAGCCTTTGATTGTATAGTCTGCCAATGCGATCACTAACATTGATTATTGAATCTCCACCGCACAGAATGGAAAATGTTTTTCTGTCTGAGGTGCAATAAGTGAGTAAGACGCAATGGTTTCTCTCTTTAGGCATCCCTTTTCTGGAAGGGAAGGTCCGATCTCCAATGGCTCAGGTTTTATCGTTAGCAGCGACGGACTGATTGTAACCAACGCCCATGTCGTGGCCAACAAACGTGGTGTCCGTGTCAAGCTTACAAGCGGAACCACTTACAACGCCATCGTTCAGGATGTGGACCCAGTGGCTGACATCGCCACCATCAAAATCAGCACTCAGGTAGGTCGTAATGAACACAGCATTTAACCGCAGCAGGCTGTGGTAACTTTAAGTAAAGAAAAGTAAAGCATCTATCAGGTGATATTTTTTCCTGTCTTCTTGTTGCTGGGTTTGATCTCTTGCAGCATGCCTTACCCACACTTCCCCTTGGCCGTTCAGCGGACGTGCGACAGGGCGAGTTTGTGGTTGCCATGGGAAGCCCCTTAGCTTTGCGTAATACCATCACGTCAGGGATCGTCAGCTCTGTGCAGAGAGGCAGTCGGGAGCTGGGCTTGTCCAACTCCAACATGGACTACATCCAGACCGATGCACCTATCGATGTGAGTGCAATCCCTCAGAAAGGGCTTCCTAAAAGGACACCGGGACTGTAACCCAAGGGCCAAAAAGCATTCCCACATGACAGTAAAATTGCCTCTTTTTTTTATCATTTTTTTTTTTACTTCATATCCTGCACTCGTTCTAACAAGATTAGTCTGTTTAGTCGGTAGTTTTCTTAATACAGTCAGTGCTGCTACAACATGTGGTATCGCACCACGAATCGACTGATATTACTACCCAAGTGTGCTACAACATGGAATCACATTTGTATTTGGGCAATTTTCAGTCTAAGAAAATAGTGCTATGTGAACTACAATACAATGCACTACTTGCATACAGCTATCCAAGTGAATGACGGTGATGTCCGATTTGTAAATGAATTGTTCTTTTGAACCGGTTCATTTTAGTCGAATGGTTCAACCAGTTACCAAATCTCAAATAACCAAGCTTTTTGTAGGCTACATCCACACATTGCACAGATCAAGGTTTAAAAGTCTTAAAATGTTTGACAAATTATCCTATAAAAACAGTGCAGCATTCTGCAATTCACTACTAAGCAATTCTCCTGAGATTCACTACACCCACAGGAGATGTTTCTGATATAATTTATTAATGTATTATTGTTATCTTATTGAAATGTATATAATTACATTATTGTCCTGATATCGATGTTTTTATTATTTCATTTTCTTTAGTATAAGTTACTTAGTTTTGGAGTCACATTCCCTTAACCCTATTTTTTATGTTGAATATGTATATTTTAGTCAGTGTGAGGTTTTTCAGGAACGCATTAGTCAGGCTGTAGCAGGACTGACTGTATAAAATAATGAGAACTTTGTACGAATCGGTCATGACTGTGCTCTGTCGTTTTGCAGTTTGGGAATTCTGGAGGACCTCTCATTAACTTGGTAAGTCCTGAAGCTGTGGAAACGATGTGCTCAGTATGGGATTATAGGTGAGCTAGTGTGGTGTGTCTCGACTGTCTGCATTCTTACTGAGAGCTGGGGGTGTTCTTTTATCCCGGAGTCAGCCTTGCTGCACTCTGCCCTCGGTGCACGTGACTCATGGTGGTGGTGTTGTTACACGCAGGATGGTGAAGTCATTGGCATCAATACCATGAAGGTCACTGCAGGCATCTCCTTCGCCATCCCTTCTGACCATCTTAGGGCCTTTCTCGATAAGGCTGCAGACAAGAAGAGTGAGTTTCTATGTCTTCTCCATAGTTTTACTGTTGAATCTCAAAGTTTATTTACCATGCACAGTTGGGCTGGGAAATATATATCTGAAAGTTATTTTAATTAAAAAGAAATAATTGGAATAAATGGTGATATTGAGTCATCCAACCCCCCTGTCCCTCCACAATAGAAGCACGCATGGTCAGTAGTTGCTTTAGATCAATAGTTGCAGCTCTGCATTAATTTAAATGAAAACTAATTAATAGCCTGACCTAGTTCATCTAAAAATTGCCAGTGGTTCTTTATTTTTGCCTGTAGTTCTGGTCATGGCCCTTGAAATTCCCACCGGGAAGTTGCACTTTGAATGGCTTGACCTTCTGGCTGCTGACTAAAGGCCAATTCATGCTTCACTTTTTTGTGTGCTTTTGCTCACACGCAGCGTGAGGTAACATGACATTTGGCATCGGGGATTTGCGTCAGATGGCTGCGGACAGTGTGCATGTAGCTCGGAATTTTTTGTCCGGCGGAGAATATGGGTGTCGTGGAAGATAATTGTGTGGACCTTCCAGTAGGTGGCAGCACTCACTTTCACAGAGCAAAGATCAACCAAAAGAGGAAGGATATTTGTTATGGTGAACAGCTGTACGGGGAGGTCTAATTTTTCATACTATCCCGACTTTAAATCGCGTTATGCTGTATTTTCAAAAGCAGCACTATTCCAACATTTTGAAATCTTGGCGCTAAAGCTTGCCGGGTTAGGGGTCCCAGCTAATTCTCATAAGGATTTCAGAATGCTGCAGTATGCTGTATTACCTTAATACAGTCCTAGACTAACAACTTTAAAACTGCCCATATAAAGTGTACCCATCACACTACATGTGCAATACATCTGCACCAGAAGTTGCATTTGGTTATCCTGCTTTTTTTGATCGACAGGGTCATAAAAATCGTCGCGTTATATTACTGCCCGCCCTTTTCATATTTTATGTTAGTGCATATTTAATTGCATTTATTTTTTATTCGTTCATTTTCATTTTTTGGAATAAATGTACAGAACAAGGGCATGGTGAGAAAAGATGAAGACAGTGACCATGCAATCACTTTTTATGTCAACATCACACAAAGCAGATGAAATTTTATTTATTTATTTTTTTCCCCGTAGTGACAATGTGGACGTATCTTGCCCCGTGACATTAGCTGCCACTGGTTGAAAAACGTTATCAGTATAGGTGCTTTTCCAACTTAGTTCTAAGCAATAATGTGTGACTTCCAAGTTGGTGCTAGTGTTTGTGGTCAACCAGTCAGCAAGTTAATCACTATAAAGCAGTGTGGTCATGCATGTGAGATCAAGGACAAGACTAGACAATAGCTATTTAATATGCATACTCGCCACCAGCTGAACAGGGGTGTGAATTCGTTATGGTAGATCACCCTCTGTTATAATCTGTCAAAATGATGGGTGGCTTTCAGATTTTTGTGGCATTGTTAAAAATTCTGTCAGTGATGGAAAATATTCAGTTAACATGACCTCTTATCGCTGACCTCCCATCTGCATCCCTGACGAAATGTAGTATGAACCCAAGATTCCACACGCACAGCTGTGCGTGGCTCGAAAGTGTATGCGGAAAAGTGAAATATGAACTAGGCTTTGGCATACTTCCCCGGCAAAGGAATTTTAATGGTTTTCAGTGTAGACTAATATAATTTTACCTGGTGAAATGTCCCCTGTTTGTTTACCACGTGACAAAAGTAATGAATACATTCTTCTGCTGTCCTTCAGAGTCTTGGTTTGGGGATTCGGGATCCAAGAGGCGGTATATTGGGGTGATGATGCTAACGCTTACACCAAGGTAAGAATTTCCTCTGGCCTGACTGATATGATGGTTTTGTCTGATACCAGTGCAGATTTTAACAAGCTTAAAATGGCAATGACAAATAATATATGTATGATTTTATATGGCCAAAAATTAAACAGACATGAATAGTTGTAGTGAATGCTTTGCTGACAGATATTTTTCAGTCTCAAACAGGAGAAATACTCGCAACATATGATGTAGATATCAACGTCACACGTTATGTCCATGCACTTATCGCTCTACCTCTGCGAACTTGCACACACCTTATTGTGTATATACACTCACCTAAAGGATTATTAGGAACACCTGTTCAGTTTCTCATTAATGCAATTATCTAATCAACCAATCACATGGCAGTTGCTTCAATGCATTTAGGGGTGTGGTGCTGGTCAAGACAATCTCCTG